GTCACTTTGTAAAATGTAGATTTGGAGTACAGTGGTGAAAACATTAAATGTGACATTTGAAACCGCAGTGGTGGCCTTGTTATTTCCTGCTGATCCCCCCCCTGCATTTGAGAGTCGAGTGTTACAGTCACGATTACCGACACGAGTGACATCCCGGGTTGGGCACGGTGCTGATTTTTACAGGTGTACGTGTGCACAGACATGACTCGTGGGCAGGACTCGCCTCTCCCTCGGCCTGATCCTGGGGGAGGCTGAACTTGCTGAGCTGGAGGTGCCGGCAGCGCTGCGATCCTGCTGCGGGAAATGGGGAAACCGGGAAACGGGGAGCCGGGAAAATGGGAAACCGGGAAAATGGGAACCGGGGGAGCCGGGAAAATGGGAAACCGGGAAAATGGGAAACGGGGAAAATGGGAAACGGGGAAAATGGGAAACCGGGAAAATGGGAACCGGGGGAGCCGGGAAAATGGGAAACGGAGAAAATGGGAAACCGGGAAAATGGGAAACGGGGAAAATGGGAAACCGGGAAAATGGGAAACGGGGAAAATGGGAAACCGGGGGAGCCGGGAAAATGGGAAACTGGGGAAATGGGAAACCGGGAAAATGGGAAACAGGGAAACGGGAAAATGGGAAACGGGAGAGCCGGGAAAATGGGAAACAGGGAAAATGGGAAACAGGGAAACGGGAAAATGGGAAACCGGGAAAATGGGAAACCGGGAAAATGGGAAACAGGGAAACGGGAAAATGGGAACCGGGAGAGCCGGGCGGGGGAGCCGGGGGGCGTGGCTGTGACCGTGGGGCGTGGCTGTGACTGGGGGCGTGGCTGTGACCGTGGGGCGTGGCTGTGTCTGAGGGCGTGGCTGTGTCCGTGGGATGTGGCTGTGGCGGGGGCGTGGCCCGGCCCCGAGGGGCGTGTCCCCGGTGTCCAGGGGGCGGTCCCTGTGCGTGGGCGTGTCCGGCGATGGCGGCGGCTCCGCGGTGGCGGGAGCGGCTCTTCGCCCTTTACTTCCTCTCGCACATCCCGATCACGGCCCTGATCGACCTGCAGCCGCTGCTGCCCGCCGGGATCCCCCCGCGGGCCGTGAGTGGGGCCGGGGGGCCGCGCCGGGGCTCGTTCCGCGAACGCGCGCGGAGCATCCGCGGGTTTGGTGGGGTCGGGGGCGGCTTTGGCCGAACCGCGTCTGTGGAGATGTGAGGGGGGAGAGGAACTGCGGTGAATGTGCGTGAGGGAGCGGCTGAAATCCCGGCGCGGCTGCTGCCACGGGATGAATCACAGCCGGGTCATTCATTGGGAGGAGCGGGAAGGGGAACGGGAGCGGGAAGGGGAACGGGAGCGGGAATGGGGACGGGAATGGGGACGGGAATGGGGACGGGAATGGGGACGGGGCGCTCCATGGGCGCTATGACCGCGCCGCTGCCCAGAGCTGTGCCCGGCTCGTGTCCCCATCCCGGGAGGCCCCGCTGAGCGGGCCGGGGGTCTCTGATGTCCCCGGGGAACCGGAGTGTTCCTCTCCGCGGTGGGCGGTGGGTGTCTCACAGCTGCCGCCACCCCGTCCTGTCCCCGCAGTGTCCCCTGTCCCCGCAGTGTCCCCTGTCCCGCTGTCCCTCCGGCCCGTCCTGTCCCCGCAGTGTCCCCTGTCCCGCGGCGCTGGTGCCACGTGCCCCGGGCCTGGCTGCTGCTGGGCACTCTCTGAGCCCGAGTTTTCCTCCGATTCCTGCCAAAAACGTGCCAGGGAGTTGTTGCCGCTGCAGCAGCAGGTATCCCAGCGACCGCATTTATTAGTTAAAATCTCTGGTTTGCTGGATTTTGAGCGAAATAGTAAAAGACAATAAACATCATAAAGTTAATTGAAAGCACAGCTGTATGGCTGATAATTAGCTCAGCCCTCATCGTCAGGGTGAGGTCGGCTGTCACCTCCTGTTTGAGCCTCACAATTGGTGACGTGGTTTTTGCCATCAGAATGGCTGGAGAATTCCTCCAATATAGGTACCACTTTCAATTAATAGTTAACCAGCAGATCCCGATGCATATCTCCCTGTTCAAAGTCCAACGCAGAGCCATGCTGGAGTTTACATTTCTGTCGTGGAAACTTAACTGCAACTCCCTGAGCCCAAATCCTTGGATGGAGCTCCAGCCTGGCTCCAGCCCTGGAGAAGGAGCCCCCAGAGCCCACTTGGCTGGGCAGGACCTGGGGGGGCTGGGGGCTCGCCCCTCAGTCAGGCAGAGAGCCCCCCTGGGCTGGCACCAGCAGGGGCAGAGAGAGGAAAATCATAGCTACCAGTGTCAAGGAGCAGATTTTTGTGGTTTGGGTTTTTTTCTGATAGGAAATCATAATTCAGGAGTGGTTTTTGGAAACTGCACTTAGTGCGGGAGTAATCCTAAAATTGCCTGTAGTGCAAATTTAATACAGACTTAATGCAGAGGGTTCATTTTATAAACACAGTCCCTGTTAAACCCAAACTGCAGTACAAATCCTCGTGTGCCAAGGTGGGATCACTGCGTTCTCCCACTGCACTGGTGGCTTCATCCAACTGAGAATCCCAGGCTTTGCCCTGCTGAGGTTGCTGTTCAGTGACAGACTGTGTTGTTTTGGTTTCCCTAAGCTGACAGACCTGTTGCAGCAGTATGCAACTGCCTTCAGGGACCCCATGATGCTGCAGCCCCCAGAGTGGTTCAAGGCCTTCATCTACTGCGAAGCCTTTCTCCAGCTGCCGTTCTTCCCCGTCGCCGCCTACGCCTTCCTGAAGGGTGGGTATGAACCAGAGGAGGGGCTTGTCCTGGGAGCTCTTCTGCATGACACCTGCTTTTGGAACAGCAGAGAAGGTTCCTGATCAGTCCCGAGCAGTTTGAGGGATGTACCCTGTGGAGGGCTGGGCTGTCACAGCCCTTACAATGAGTGTGCCAGGAGCACTGGGCTACTCTCACAGCAGATTTTACCTGGGAAAGCAGCACAGAATAAAGTCTGTCAGACACAAAACCTTGTGACTACAGGCCCTTGTCAGGTGCAGCCATTTGTGCAACCAGCATCAGCATTTGACATTTGGCACACTTCCCAGGCAGATAAAGGTCTGGGTCAAGCCTGTGTACTCGTTTTGTTTCTTCAAAATTTTCAGGATCACCCCTTTGTTCTGAATTTCCATCAAGGGAGAGAAATTTCCTGGGTTCTACTAGTACTTAGGTTTTTTTGTGCTACCTATTCAGTGTGACTGATGGCTGACCCTGGCAGAGAGGCAGCAGTCAATGTTCTGTTAAGTTAAAAGCCTCGGAATTCTGCTTGTTTCAATAATACTTCAATACATTTTCCTTTTTGTTTCTGTGCAGGTGGTTGCAGGTGGATCAGGACTCCTGCCATTATCTACTCCACCCATGTAGCCACCACTCTGTTTGCCATCCTGGCCCATATCCTGTTCCACGACTTCTCCAAGTCCGAGCACGTGGGCCCTCAGACGCTGCGTGAGCGTCTCGTTCTGCTCTCTATATACCTGCCCTACCTGCTGATCCCCCTGCTGATCCTGTTCACCATGCTCTGCAACCCCCACTACAAACACGTGGAGAAGAGAAAAAGGAAGTAGCCTGCTCTGGCAGTCTTACACAAAACTCCTGTCCTGGATTTGGTTCCAACCCTGCGCTCACGGAGTCCTCTGGGACACACATCCCCCTCGTGCTGGCTGCAGCAGCTCCTGCCAGAGCACTGGCTGCTGCAAGGCAAAATGGAATTGGTTTGAGTGCACAGCCCTGCTTCCACCACAGACAGCTCTGCCAGAGGCTGGGCCAGCAGCCCCCGGGGCTCTGTCTGTGCGGGGCCTCTCCAACTGGCAGATGGACTCGTGACCTTCCACGTGTGACTGTGAGGGGACACACTCACACTCTGCAGCTGGTATTGTTCTTCCAAGTTCCCTCCTTCCAAGATGACTGTTTGGAAACCACTTAAGTAGGAAATCTGTCTTCCAACAGCATATTCTGCAGACTCCCCAACTGATTACACCCAGATTTGCAAAGCTGTGCTTCTGAAACATTTCCAATCGTATCCTGATTCTCAACTTCCTCACCCCTTCCTCTAAAATTTCCCTGCCTTTGCTTTGCTTCATTTTGATTAATTACAAATGTCTGATCAGTGGTAAATGTGCCAAAATCTGGATTTATGATACTTAAAGTTACCTTTGAAAATGAGAAATATTGCCTAGGGGATTTTGAAGTACTTCAGGAATTGTAAACAAGGAATTGCAAATTTCTCGCTTCCCTGAAATCATTTATAGTATGGAAATAAATAACTACATGCAATAATCTGCATTTAATCTTTTTCAGGGCAAGGCTGAAAGGAACTTACAGTGACCATGAGATGGTAGAGAGTTCACAGAGTAAATCTCTGCATAAATTACAACTGAGAGAAATTCTGGGGTGGTTGGGTTTTTTTTCAGTTGATCTGCAAGAACACTTGGAGGATGGTGAGATGTGCCAGGGCCCTGTGAAGCTGCTCAGGTGCTGCCCTTGTATTTCAGGATTTCACTGTGTAAAATGTAAGCCTTCCCCAGGCTTTGGAAAGAGCCACATTTCCATACTGGGTTCCCTAAAGACAGACACAAAACACATCTGTTTGCCCTTCAGCAGGAGGCCTGAGTTCACATTTGTGTTTGTATAGTTATGTACCGCTGGTGTCACTGACACTTGGAATGGTTTCCATCTTAATAATGCCCATGAAAGAATTCAGCTCTCATATTATGGCACTCCTGAATGGACACTCCTCAGGAACAGTTCAGAGTTCTTAATTCTAAGGTAGTTTCTGCTTTTTTGTGTGTCTGTAATTGATGCATTCTGGAAATCATAAATTTCTGTGGCTTTTTTCTAATTCTGTAGAGAGTAATGTGGGCAATGTAGATCTAAGTTACTGCTGCTTGTGTGTGGTGTCTTTACAGACACAAAGAAAGTGGAAAACCACTGAGAGTGCCCAGGGAGTTGTAAACCTTTAAGCTGAAAAATAACAGAGCAGGAGGAACTACTTCTGGTACAGCCAGAAAGTCTGAGAACAATAATTTATTTCCCAATTTCTTTGAAAGAGCTGAAAAGTTCAAAAAGAGACACAACAGAGCACCAGTAGCATTAACTCAACTGTAATTTGAATTAGAACTACTGACTGTATAAAACTGGTATAAAATAAAGGCCAGAACAGTGTGTGCAGCTGTGAGCTGTCAGCCCTCCTTATTGCCACGGCTGGGACATTCACACCAAGGTAAAGCCCCTCCATTGCACAAACCATCTGCACTCCTGCACAGTGGAAATTGCATATTTCTGAAATTCTCAAGATTCTGGAATGGTCAAGTTCCCAAGTGAGCTGGGTTTTATCTTAAAATCCTCTATTTCTGGAAAATGAACTGGTCAATGAATTCATTCTGGTCCGCTTCGATTTTGCACAGAGTCTCGTACTCGATCCGGTACCTGCAAGAGAAAAATGGTCAAAGACCCCCAGCTGTGTGAGGGGGGTCACTGCAGCCCCCCAAGCTGTGGGAGGGCGGCTGAGCTCCCTGTGTGACCTGCCACTGTCAGCAGCAGCTGCCTGAGTCACACTGTGCAGCTCTCAAGGCCCTTGAGCAGCCAGACACAAGGCTGGTCCAGGTGTGCAGGGTTCTGCACTGCCCCACCTCCTGCTGCCTCCCTTTGTTCAGCCCCAAAGTCCTCAGGGAGGAACCTGCTTTGGTTCACTGCAGGGCCTGGAGGGCAGTCCAGGCCTCTGGGCAGGACACACCTTCGCTGTAGGTGGGACTGTGAACCAACTGAGGGTCCCACAGGTGGTCAGCCCTGAGCCCTCCCAGCCTGCACAACTCCCTGGAGCACTGAGCACAAACCTCACCTTTCCAGCTGCATCTTTTTCTCGGCTATCAAAGCCTGGAGCTGCTGCTCCTGAGCCTCTCTCTGCTTTGTGATCGACTTCAGCAGGTTCCGTGCCCCGATGGCCTGGCAGCAGAGGGTTGGATGTGGTGAGGGGGTTTTGTTGATTTTTTTAGCCCCTTTCCCTCCCAGCAGGTCGATTCTGAGGTGTTCCAGCCATGCCAGCAATAAGGGAGGGTGACACTGTGATCCTGAGGGGTTGGGCAGGGTGAGGCCTTTGGGGTGTCCCTCAGACAGGGAACAAAGTCACTGACTCCTCTGGACACACAACGTGGTCACCGGTCCAGACAAGCTGTGGCTACCACAGGCTTCTCCTGCCTCTTGAGGACTAAGTTCTACCAGGAAAAGGAGCAACTGAGAAGTACAGGTTCTGTTTATATGCAGAAATATTGACAAGCAGGAAGAGCAGCACTGTGACATGCAGGAGTAATGTGACAATGTCACAGGCTTCTAGACATTAATGTCCATTAAAAAGGCCCAGTTAGACCCACGGAAATGCCAGTAGGATGCTGACAGGGAAACTGCTTCTGCTGTAAAGGGAGGGAGAGCTGTTTTTTTCACACGGGGCAGGGCAGAGCACACGAGAACCCAGGAACTAACTGCACAGTACCTTCATCTTTTCACTTTCTGCAGCTTTGGCCAGTTGGTCAACGAGCTCAATCAAGCTGCCCACTATTTTCTGAAATTCTTCTGTTTCTGCAAAGAAGACACCAGAGTATCTGCCAAGTGCAGAGCTGCAGAGCGGCCCTAAAGAGGAGCAACGCTCCTGCTTCGTGGTAGAGCTTTTAGATGTTTATGGAGTTTACTGTAAACAGCCACGTTTTAAGATTTTCCTCGGAATCAGATAGAAGGGGAAGAAAAGAGGAAAGCCCTGGAGCGTGCAGGGGCGGCCCGGGGGCCGTGCGGGACTCACTGTCCACGAAGGCCCGGCACTCCTCGCGGAGCTGCGCCGTCTGCGCCGCCACCTCGGGCTCCAGCACCCGCAGCTTGTTCAGCTCGTCGAAGTGCAGCCCCGCCGCGCCCAGCGCCGCCTGCGCCATCCGAGCGGCCCCTGCCAGAGCCCCGCGACGGCTCCGAGCACCGACAGCCCCTCCGAGCGGCCCCTGCCAGAGCCCCGCGACGGCTCCGAGCACCGACAGCCCCTCCGAGCGGCCCCTGCCACAGCCCCGCGACGGCTCCGAGCACCGACAGCCCCTCCGAGCGGCCCCTGCCAGAGCCCCGCGACGGCTCCGAGCACCGACAGCCCCTCCGAGCGGCCCTTCCGAGGGCCCGGCCCGGCCCCGCCTCCGCCGCTCGGGCCTGCCGGGAGGTGCCGAAGCTCTTCCGGGCCGGCGCTTCCCGGGGCGGGACGAGGCTCGGCTGGGCCGGTGCTGAGGGGCGGCAGTGGGGTGAGTGCGGGGCTGAGTGCGGGGCCGGGAGCGGGGCCGGATCGGGAGCGGGGCCGGATCGGGTCGGGGCCGGATCGGGAGCGGGGCCGGATCGGGAGCAGGATCGGCTCCCGCCGCCGGGGCCTCCCGCGTTCGCCCGCCCGGCCGGGCGGGGCTGAGCGGCCCTACCGTGACCGGCCCCGCCGTGACCGGCCCCGCCGTGACCGGCCCTGCCCGTGACCGGCCCTGTCCGTGACCGGCCCCGCCGTGACCGGCCCGGGGTCGCGTTGCTCGTTTCCCGGCGGGGCCGAGCGGGGCTGTTCCCTGTTCCCCACGCGGGACCCTTGTCCCGCTGCCCCTCCCGCCTCCCACGCGGGGCAGGAGGGCAGGGACAGGAGGGAGGGACGTGGGGAATTTTCTGTCGTGTCAAAGCGGGTAATTAAAGGTCTCGGGGCTGTTTACAGCAAAGGCCCCGCAGCTCCTTGACGGACATCACTTGTAGCGTTTGCTCGGTTGTAATAATGGATTAATTAATTAGAAACTGCAGGATAACGTTGTATTTTAGGTCTAAGTTAAGCAGTTCTTCCAATCTCGGGCAGTTTTAAGACACCGTTGTAGCTGCCAAGTAATTCATTGTACTGATGGGTGGTTGTGGGGCTTTTCTCTGTTGAAAGCTGAGATGGGGTAAGAAAGAAGAAGGTTGCAGGAAGAATAACAATGGAGTTAACAGGTGGTATATTTATTTTAAAGGTCACTCGTGTCATAGGCACAGAACAGAGAGGGGAAGGTATTTGTAGTCTGAAAGAGTTTAAGGAAAACCAACAAAGAAAAAAACAACAGAAAAAAAAAGAAAAACAACAGCAAAAACTTTTTGAGAAAATAAGTACTTGAAGAAAGATAGGTAAAAAAGTTGTATTTGCACTTTTTTTTTCTTAAAACTACATTGAGTGTTCAGGGTTCCAGGAGAGAGGAAGGAGAGTTTCGAATGAAAGGAGTTACCTGGAAACGGAATGTTAATGATCCAGCCTTTCGGTTTTGAGGTGTTTGAAGAGACATTTGCGTCTCCAGTTAAGAGTCAAACCAACATCATCAAACCCTGCTCAGGGAGGTGCACACACAGCCCAGCTGAAGGAGGGGCAGGAAGCTCTTCCAGTGTGTTTCAGCTCTGCCCAGAGAGTTGTGTTCTTTTGGGAAGCCGGGGGGGGATGGATTCCAGCACTGTTTAGGCCTGGCCTCGGGTGGTGGGTGGTGTTTGCAGTGCTGGCTGAAGAGGAAACTGCAGGAAGTCAGGGGAGTTTCACCAACTCAGAAATGCAGTGCAGCCGTAACCTGCATTATGTCGTGCGTGAATCGCCTGAAAAATGGCTCGACGATGTTTTGTCACGGTGTGTGTGGTTGTGTCCTTGGGAATGTGCTGGCAGTGCCCCCCTGTGTCAGTGCTGACCGCCCCTCTGTCCCCAGGTGATGAGCGCTCCGTGCCCGTCCCCGCCGGCAGACGCGTGACCGCAGCACCACGGCGGGGCCCGCCCGGCCCACGCGCTGCAGGGTCGTCATCTACCTCCAGAAGGACATGTCTGGGGACACGTGCCTCGCCCTGTGCCCCAGCGCGGGGCCCAAGCCCAAGGCTGGCAGCTTCAAAGGCGGCAGCCTGGGCAACAAGTACGTGCGGCTCAACGTGGGCGGCTCCCTGTACTACACCACGGTGCAGGTGCTCACCAGGCACGACACCATGCTCAAGGCCATGTTCAGCGGCAGGATGGAAGTGCTCACAGACAAGGAAGGTGAGGTTGCTGTTGACAGTTTTGTAGAACAACTGGGTTTTGGTAGTTGTTTTTGAAATATCACGACTACGCTCTGTTAAGAGTAGGGATATGTCCCAAAAATAACTTGGAACGTTAGGCAGCCCGCTCCCATTGACGCTAGCGGTCCTCTGGCTTTATAGGAATGTGCTCTTTTGTTACCAAAATTAACCAGGGAAGGACTAGGCCTCTTTCCTGCCCTCACAGTGTCTGAGCAGATTGTTGGTGGTGTTGTAAACACTGAACAGACAGTCTGTGGGTTGTCATTTCTGTCACATCGTGCAGTGGCATCATTGGAACTGCGCACGTGGGGGGGACGTGCAGTTTTCAGCTTAAAGGCTCAGAATAGCCTGGTTTGCTATGTTGAAAATTCCTTCTTTCATCCTGCCAGCAGCATGTTTCACCCGTGGCTCACGGTGCTGTGGCGATGTTTAGGGGTCAGCCAGGCAGTGTGTCACCTCTGTCACCTCTGGCTGGACTCAGGATATTGGCATCACAAATCCCAGATACGTTACAGGGAGCAGAACAAGCAGTTTTGTATAAGAGCCTCAGCCAGAATGGAAAACAAGGGTCATATTCTTCAGCTGGAGCTGTGAGAATCCAGCAGGGGTTTAGCTTACTTTCCTACGTTGTTTTCTGTACCTAGATCCCAAAATATCACTTTTTTTTCCGCTTTCCACATTATGGGAAAGGGTTTGGCACTGCATTAAGTCCTCTGCCTGCGTGCATCCTACGCTGCTATTGTTTGGCAGCAGTCAGACATCCTGTTTCCTGGGGAATGTGACTTCAGGGATGTAAAACTGCAAGAACTGTCTGTCTGCCACTGTTTCCTGTGCTGCATCCCCGATGTGTCTGTCGTTTTCTTTGCTCCTCTTTGGGGACTAGAACAGCTTTTTTCCTACACTGTGTTTTCTGGGCTGGTCTGCCTTTTAGCATCTTCAGAACACTTCTCTCTCTTGCACTCCCAACAGCAGCAGCAGATGTGTTTGGAAAAGTGCCAAATCCTCATTATTAGGCCACAGACCTTATCTCAAATCTACTTGTTACAAGCATTTGTGAATTCTCTCTTCTGACTGTCCAGCATCACAGTGTAGCACTGCAGTTCGGTTCCTGCAGCAATCTTTGTGTCTTGTGCTGGAAGCTGAGTGTTTTTATCTCAAGGCTCTGCTTTTGGGATGCTGGAAAGCAATGGGAACGTCCAGACAGTACCAAAGGGGTCCCACTGTCAGGGACTGTTCTGGAACAAGCTTCAGCTTGCTCAAAGTCAGTAGAGACTTCTACTGGGTGGAATTGGAGAAGGGTCCTTTGCAGTTTCAGGAAACCTCAGGCTTATTTAACCTCTCCAAGGAGCTTTTTCTTACCTCTAGGGTTGAGGTGACTGGAATGTGTTGGTTATTTTCCAGGCTGGATCCTTATAGACCGCTGTGGGAAGCACTTCGGAACAATTTTAAACTATCTGCGAGATGACACAATTGCACTTCCAAAACACAGGCAGGAGATCAAAGAGTTGATGGCAGAAGCCAAGTACTATCTCATCCAGGGCTTAGTGGACATGTGCCAAGCAGCCCTGCAGGTAAGAACATAAGTAGCCTGTGAAGTTTTTTGTGGGTGATTTGCCTGTAAAATTTACTCAAGATACCTTTACAGATTATTTCATGGTCTAGATAATAACTGTAGGCAGAATGGGTTTGAGCCTCCAACTTTTTATTAAGGTTAGCCTGGAGACAATATATATATAACTTAGTCTTAAAACTGTGAAATGAACATTTCTTGCAGGACAAAATTCAGTAATTACTGAGTACCTCACATACTGGGTTCAGCATACTACTGGTATCACTGAAAGAAGTGCAAAGCCACACTGACAATTTTCCTTCTGGTTTAGAATTTAAAATCTGGCTTCTACAAACAAAATGTTCTGAGGCTTCCCTGTTAGCCATTGAGCTTTTCTGAGTTTGGTGCCAGAGGGACCTGGGGGCACAGCTTGTCCTGCACACGCTTGGTTGTGACTTTTGTGCCCCAAGGGCTGACGCTGTGTTGTCAGACCCTGCTTTGCCAAGTGTTCAGTTCACTGCAGTGGTTGAGTTGATTAAAACTTGTGCAAACTCCCTCTATCTTTTTCTTCAAGAAAGGATGCAGTAATAAACCCATTTAAACCAAATATGACTAGAGATTGTCCTTGCTATAGCTGAGGACATCCGCCTGCATCCCAATATTTCAATTACTGCTGCCTTCTGGGCATAAGGAATCTCTGCTGTGATTCTGGGTTGCAGATCAAGGTAAGCTATGTGGTTACCATAGCAACCCAGAGCTTCCCGTGCATCACAGCATTTGGGAACATGGCTGGAGGAGACAGTAGCAGCAGTGTTAGCTTTAGCATTTCTCTCTTATTTCCTCTTTCTTCTTTTTTTAAAATAGGACAAGAAAGACCTGTATGAGCCTGTCTGCAGCATCCCTATTATCACCTCTCCGAAGGAAGAAGAGAGACTGATTGAGTCATCAATGAAAGTAACTGCTCCTCAGAACTATGAATTTATGCTAAGTGTATTCAAACACAGAACTTACCTTTTCTACTTTTCTCTCTCCCAACAGCCTGTTGTTAAGCTGCTTTATAACAGAAGCAACAATAAGTACTCCTACACCAGGTATGTCTGGTTTTTTTCCTGCTGTACTGGGAAAGTTTCCCTTTGACTGTGGGAGTGGAGGAAGATGATGGATGGCCTAACTTGGCTGGTTGTGGTTTGGTTGGGTTGTGTTTGGTTGTTTTTTTTTGCTTACAGCAGTGTTCTTCCAGCACACACTGACTCTTTTGCTGTGATCAAGCCAGAGAACTGCAGTGAGGCTGGGCTTTGATCACCCCGAGTGTCAGTCAGGAGTGTTGTGAATAGTTGATGTAACTGTTTAGGACATTGTGCTGTTGTTATTAATTATATAGCTTGACCTCTAAAGGCTGATGTGTTTGCTTACAGGGGTCAGAGCAGTGTATTTGTATCTGAAATGGGCTGTTACCCCTCTTTTCTTGGCAGCATATGACAGTGAGTCACTACTTATTTGCATTCTGCAGTTAGATCGGTGCTTACAGCTGGGGAAGTAGCATATAAAATGAGCAGAGATGGCCAGTTGAGAAATCCCCTTCCTGCTTTTGGTGCTGTGTTTCAGTAACTCAGATGACAACCTGCTGAAGAACATCGAGCTGTTCGACAAGCTCTCTCTGCGGTTCAACGGCAGAGTCCTGTTCATCAAGGACGTGATAGGGGATGAGATCTGCTGCTGGTCCTTCTACGGGCAGGGCCGCAAGCTGGCCGAGGTCTGCTGCACCTCCATCGTGTACGCCACGGAGAAGAAGCAAACCAAGGTAATGGAGCTTCACCCACCTGTCTGTTATGGGTTTGAAATCACGGAATCCCAGAAAAACAGAATATTCTGAGCTGGGAGGGACCCACAAGGATCATCAAGTCCAGCTCTTAAGTGAGTGGCTAGCATGGTGAATCTACAGAATTTCCCTAAATTTAGGACTTAACTTCTGATGTCTAGTAGTGCAGGCAAGGTGACCAGGGTTCAGCATTAGGAATCAGAGATACTGTTTTCCTTTCTAGAACAATCTAAAGGAAGAGCTGAGGGAAGTGGCCTGGTGGTGGGAGTAATCCTCTACCAGGGATTAGTCTGCTTTGTTCATTTCTGTTTTACCCTCTTTGTAACCTCTGTCTCTGTGGCTCGAGTGTCTCTTCACGTGCGGGTTTGTGTTCCAGTCACGTTAGCCTGGGCGGATCAGAACGGGACGTGTGCTGTCTGTTGTAGGTTGAATTCCCCGAGGCACGAATTTATGAGGAAACACTAAATGTCTTACTGTATGAAACCCCCCGGGTTCCTGATAACTCCCTGCTGGAAGCCACGAGCCGGAGCCGGAGCCAGGCGTCGCACAGCGAGGACGACGAGGGGTTCGAGCTGCGCGACCGAGTGCGCCGGATCCACGTGAAGAGATACAGCACCTACGACGACCGCCAGCTCGGCCACTAGTGCCTGAGCTGGGCTGGGCTCAGTGTGCTTGCAGGATCAGGCATAGGGAGGGATCCCCTGGGCTCTGGGGATTGATCTTCGTTTGGCATCTTGGCTCCCTGGACAAGCGAATGGGCATTTTGCGCACAAAGGGACACTAAAGGCTTGGACAATGAGGTGTGAGTTCTGCACCACGTGCTTTACCTACAGACCGGCCCCTCTTCCTGCCAGGGGACCGGGGAGATTTGTGACACTGGTTCTCAGTTTGGGGGTGCTTTCCTATGTAACAACTTGCCAGTTTCCCCTTCCTGTGAGCAGCGAGGTGGTGCGGCTGGGAAAGCTTTTTCCAGACACCTGCCTGTTCAGGGTCTTGCATAATGGAACGTGCAGGCTTAAATCAAGATACTGGAGAGAGAACCTGAACGTGGCTACTCTTGGCAGACACTACATGTGATAACCCTCAGGAGAAATGGTTGTCTGGCCAGTCAGCTGCCAGCAGTCAGGTGCACTGCACGTGTGCTTTCTCCCACCCCAAGTCATCAAACAACCTCCCCTTGTGAAAAATGAGAAGTCTTTGAAAGTTGAAGTGTGTATGTAATGACTTGTCCTGGGAGATGGAGAGATGGGTAGGAGAGGGAAGAAACTTCAAGTGAGGAAACTTGAGCAGATTGTGGCAGGGTTGCCCTTGTTTAGGCTTGTGAGAGTGAAATCATGTTTATACAAAGAAGGACAATCCATGGAATTGTTTTTACATTAGTTACCTCCTGTAGTGGGGGAAAAATTGCAGTGGCTGGGGAGGTACAGACTAAACAGTGTTTTATAAGGCTACATCATGTGAATTCAAGTTCTGTGTTTTAAATTCCTTTTAGACCATAGAACTTTAAGTGGAAAGAGAAGAACAACCTTAAAAATCTTGTTCTAGCATGAGACTGCTAGGGGCCTCGGGCACAGGAGAGAGGTGGCTTATACTGGATTTTAAACTGAAATAATCACTTTTATCCTGAGTGCTAATTGTACAGGGCACTTGAGGGGGTTGGAGTCAAGTCTGCTCTGCAAATTGGGTCTCTGGGAACAGCTTCAAGTTTAGTATGAAAAGCTATTACTGTATTTTTAAATGTTTGCTTGTATGTTTGAGCTCCAGGTTGCATAGTCCAGTTTTCCCACTGTCATTAATGGTTATTCCTGCTGGCTGTCCACTGGCAGCGATGGATATGTTGGATATGCTGCTTTTGTGTTCCAATATTGTACTTGGTTGTGGAAGCTCCAGATCCCACGAGGGTTGGTGCTGAACTGCTTTGACCAGTGCCTGTAAGATTTCAAGAAAAGTACTGCAAAGGCCTACAAGAAAATAATCTCAAATTAATACAGTGAGGTCACAAGCAGAACTGAGATGTAGGCGGTTTGGGAGTGCTGGAAGCAGGGGAGAGAACAGAAAGATTCTTTGCACCCATTTAGGTTTTTGAAAACAGAATTGCTGGGGGTTAATAAGAAAACAGTAATGGCTGTAAACTTTCAGGGTTTTCTTGCCTGGCCGGGCCTCTACACGTGGCAGGATTCACTTCATTCTCCTCGCATTCAGGAAGCAGCACTGCACAGAGATGCACCTGCCTTGGTGTGAAAGGCCTCTTGAAAACTCCTAATAACCTCTTCTCTTTTATATTGCTCTCTGTAAGTTTTTGTTTTCCAGCTGTTATTCTGTTGTGCCAGGGGAAAATACAGCTGCTGAGTTTAGTTTTGACAAAGATTTTTGTGGTATTTCTCTCTAATTCTGCTAGAGTGTGACGTGGATTTTTACAATTTTTTCCCTCCACTGATGCTATTTAATTTGAAGCCGCCAGCAGAGGCTGCAGTGATGGAATCTTTGCACTTAATGGGTTAGGTTTATTCTCTTGTGCTTTTTCCATCTTGTAACAAAGGCTGCTGCCATTTAAAATCCACGTGTGGCACTTGTGTCTTGGAAAATGATTTGTATTATTTTTTTTCTTGCTACTATCATAGTGAATGTTAACAGATTAAGTGATGCTGGTAGCCTTGCAAAACTGTGTTAAAAAGTTATAAGCCTAAAACTGTCATATTTGCATTTATTTTCTCTGGGGAGGACGGGTATGGGAAGGAGTGTGTGAAGAAGAATGAGTGTCAGATCCAGGTGCTACTCCAGAGGCTTTCTGTACTCTCAGGAGTCATTAACGAAATGGATCTAACTTGTGAATTATTACACTGTAAGAAGCAGAGAAAAGCTTGTGTTTTGGTTTAGTTGGTTTTCTGTCCCTGTCTCCCATAACAAACAATTAGTATTAATCTTCTACCAAGTGCAAAGGAACTTTTTGGTGTTTGTGGAATGTGGAATATCAGTAAGAAGTGTCAGCAGTTATGAATGTGTTTAAAAATGTGCAGATATCCTTTTCATTTCACTGTAGATTCTCTTGAGAGTCCTGCTTGTCTGGAACTGCTCCAGCACAGGGAGTTATTGAATGTCCCTCGCACCAAAATCATGGCCTGGGGATGTGGTGTCTCTGACCACCAGGTTCTGATAATTTTGTGATGTCACACATGCTCTGTATTCTCATCTTAACCAGCCTTTATGTGATTAAAGGCTGGGAATTATTTTGAGAGGAGCATTCTAGTCGTTCTAGAACACGCTTTTATGACCTGGTGTAAAGGAGAAGCAGCAGCACTGAGCAGGATGATGCAGTTTAGAGTCAGCATTGGTGGGTTTGCAGGGAGCTCCACGCTGCTCGAGGGAGCGATGGCTGTGCTGCCTCAGGGTCCTCTCTGCTGGCTCTGAAGAGACAAATAAGGACAGTCCTGGTTTCTGATTGATGTGTTTGTCTGCAAGCTGAGAGTTGTAGTGGCTTTCCATATAGACCATCACCAATAGGTGTGTTAAGGAGGTGCCTGGGAATTTGGGGGTAGCCTTTGGGAGGAAGGAGAGGCCTTTTTGCCTCATTTGTAGGGTGTGAATTCTGACTGCATTAGCTGGCATTCTTCCAGGACTCGCTGTGCTCTTTGCTCCTGAATTTAAGCAAAGCTTTGAGCATTCAGGCAGACTGAGGGCATGAATAGAAACTGTTCCCTGCCATCCCTGCCCAACCCTGTACTGAAGGCTGCTGTGCCAACAGCCTGGGTCCTCCTCTAGGGAAGGTGTCTCAGTGACTGGCTGCTGGGGAACAGGGATGCAGGATCAGTGTTAATTGGGCAACAGTGTTAGAGGGGAGAGCTCTGCAGGCCAGCAGCTCCTGATGAATGCTGAGACAAAACTCACTGCTTAACCGTCACCTTGACATTTAGTTTTTGGAACAGCAAGACATTTATCCTGCCATAATATTCCACTCCAGCAACTTTTATCTTGTGCACTTCTTGGTTAAAATAGAGAATAACTGGCTGGGACTGGAAGATGTTGCAGGGGCCAGTGGTGTCACTGAGAGCTGTATTTGAAATGGGCAGTACTTACTGTGGGTTTGGTTTGACTTTTTTTTTTTTTTTTTTCTTTTCCCTTGGGGGGTTTTAATTTTCAGACCCAATTCCCTCCAGGCAACACTGATGAACATACCTGGACGGGTCTGGCCCAGCAGGCCCTGCCTTACACAGTTAGATTGTGTCTTCTGACAATCCTTGGCATTCAACCTTCTCAGCCAAATTCGAGGTGTCTGTGGGAGGTGAGTGGGCACCAGTCCTGTTCCAGCTCTGTCACTCCCTCAGGCACACACAGCAGGAGGTGTTTTCTGTATATGTGTAATTTCTTCTCATCTAATAAAATGGTGAAAAAACCCTCCCCTACCTCAGAGGGATGTTGTATTAATTTGTTTAATAATAGTAAAGGATTCTTTGGGATTTCTATAATATTTTGTATCCAGAGGACAGCGAGTATGACTGCTGATCTTGTTTAAATTGACATTCTGTGATCAAGTTGTTTTCTTAAAGCATCAGTCTTTGTTTTATTTTTATGTCTAACTTTTTTAGGGTCAGTCTTACAGATAAATTACTTAGTTAATGCAGTAATTAATTAGGTGTTGATTTAAGTGTTTTATCAGTGCATTAAATGGAAATGGAACACTAATTTTTAATAAAGTGTTATATTTTGTCTTCTGTGATTTGATCCCCACCTGTGATTTGGGATTCCTAAAGCACAAAGGTGCTGTGGCGGTACATGGATTTGGGATCGGCTCCGGGCTGGGATTACAGGACAGTTACGGGGCCGTGGTGGATCCATGTCCCGGGGATCGCTCCCGTTCCCCGGGCTATCTCTGCCATCCCGGATCTCTCTCCCATCCCGGATCTCCCATTCCCGGATCTCTCTGCCATCCCGGATCTCTCTCCCATTCCCGGATCTCTCTCCTATCCCGGATCTCTCTCCCATTCCCGGATCTCCCATTCCCGGATCTCTCTGCCATCCCGGATCTCTCTCCCATCCCGGATCTCTCTCCCATTCCCGGATCTCTCTCCCATTCCCGGATCTCTCTCCCATCCCGGATCTCCCATTCCCGGATCTCTCTCCCATTCCCAGATCTCTCTCCCATTCCCGGATCTCTCTCCCATTCCCGGATCTCTCTCC